TAGTCTTGGTGACGCCTGAGTGGGCAGCCCGGGGTAACTGGGCAACTAACGTCGGACCTAGAGCCTCTGGGACCAAGTCTAACATTTGTTAGAGTCCACCAAGCATTTGGTCCTCTGGTAGCTTGCTTATGTTCTGCCAATTCCTCCTCTTGTAAAGGCCCCACTGGTTTTTGGGCGGCTTCCTTGGCAGCTTGGTACTGAGTGACCCTGGTGTTTGACATCCATCTCCCTGGAGCACCTGGAAGGAGGGCTTCCACAGCATGGGGTGTTGTCAGGGCTAGTTCCTGGCCCAAAGTCAGCTTATCTGCCTTCTTTACCAGCAATGCTGTGGTGGCCACTGCCCAGAGGCACGCTGGCCACCCTGCAGCCATGGGGTCTAGTCTCTTAGACAGACAGGCCACAGGTCTCTTCCAGGGACCTAGAGTCTGGGTGAGAACCCCTTTGGCAATGCCCCTTACCTAACTCACGTAGAGGTGGAAGGCCTTCCTGACGTCTGGCTAGGCTAGGTCAGGTGCTGAGACGAGAGCCTTCTTTAGCTCCTCAAAGGTCCATTGTTCCACTTCGGTCCAGTTGAACGGTTGCGCCTCCCCAGAACTTCAGCACAGAGGTTCGGCAATCTCTGCAAACCCCAGTATCCACAGGCTGCAGTATCCAACTGCCTCCAAGAATTCCTGAACCTGCTTCCTGGTTGTAGGCATGGTGATCCTTAAGATTGCCTCTATTCAACTGAGGGAGAGGATCCGTCTGCCTTTGCCAATGTCGTACATCAGGTATGTGACATCAGAGGAGAACAACTGTGCCTTCTTGGCTGACACCTGGTAGCCTAATGCTTGTAAGGTGCCTAACAGGCCAGCAGTGGCTTGTGGGCAATTTTTCTCAGTATCTGCTGCCAGTAGAAGATTTACGTACTGGAGTAGGGTTCATTCTGGATGCTCCTGTCTAAAGGCAAGTAGGTTCGAGCTCAAGGTTTCATCAAAAAGGGTGGGAGAGTTTTTGAAACCTTGAGGCAGTCTAGTCCAGGTTAATTGTCCTGAGAATCCACCCTCTGGGTCATTCCACTCGAATGCAAAGATAGCAATTCCTTTATTTGCTTCTAAACTCAGGGGGTATGGCCTTACCCGAGCTGGAGTAGCTTTGGCTTGCAATTAGACTACTACAGGAGCTTGATGACTTGCTAACCCCGGGGGGTTGTTTTCTGCCCAAACCATGGGAAAGAGACGTTGTAATTTCCCCAAGTAAGCAGAGTCACCTTGGCCCTTTCCTGCAAGAGATATTCATCTGAGAGAGGACAGGTTAGAAGAATGCGGGCAGGAGAGGATGGGTCCGGGCTTGGGTTCCTCGGATCCACGGTGAAGTGTGCTCCGTCCCCCTCGAAAGATATGGTGGCTTGTAGTTTCTGTAAGAGATCACATCCAAGTAAGGGGTACGTGCATTCTGGCATGACCAGAAACAAATGTGTTACCGTGTTCTTTCCAAGGTCCACAGTCCTCGTTGATGTCCAAGGAAAACGGCAGTTTGTCCGGTGGCTCCCTGGACCGATGTCTTCTTAGATGTTACGGGTCCCGTTGGCTCTGTCAAGACTGAATAGGCTGCTCCAGAAAACTAAAAAATTATTCTGGGCTCTAAGGGATTCAAGGAAAAGGAGTCCTGGCCCTATTAGTCACCTTCCCTGAGTGTAAATCCTTCAGAGCCTGGGTTTTCCCTCCAGCTATCCGCTTTCCTTTGTGAACCTACCAGGATATTCTCTCTTCCAGTGCCCCTACTTCCTACTATAGGCATACTAATGCCTTCCTACTTTGCTGCCAGCCTTTTCTTTCCTTTTTCCATTCCCCTTCTCCTTTTGTCCTGGTGCCCATTTCTCTTAATGCAGCTACCACTGCCTTAGTGATTCTCTTGTCCTGCTTCTCCTCCGTGGTGTCTCTATTGTTAAAGACTTTCTGGGCTACCTCTACCAGCTAAGACAGATTCATTCCTTCAAATCCTTCTAATTTTTGGAGTTTTTCTTAGCTACTGCCTTTTAAGCACCCCCAAACGCCCAAACCCCCAACAGCACACGGTGAAAAGTGTCCAAGGAGGCCTTGGGTCTCATTGGAGTGCAGGGGAGCACAAGGAGGCGCAGGGAAATATGTTAACACTATACTGCAGGCTAATAATGCAATGATTGTGTCTCAAAAGAAAACCTGAGATAACTTTATTAAAAATACTTTATTGCTAAGCACTAGTAACAAGCAACTGAGCTAGCTAGAAAAATGGTTGTACTAGACTGCTGAATGCACTGTTTCCAAAATTATGGACTTTGTAGAAAAGCGGGCCTGGGAGAGCAATATCTGAGAAGCACAATTAATTACTTCTAAATATATGTGTTCTGCATGTAATACGCAATCTATATATATAAAAATGTAAGCGACCGACCACCCATTCGACCAGTAGGTATGTCGCAAAATGACCACTAGGAGGCAGACGCTCAAAGCACAGGCATGAAAAAAATGGAAGAGACTCATGAATGTCAGAGAGAAATGGGGAGAGGGGAGAGCAGAAAGAGATTAACCAAAAATCTTATATGAATAGAAGAGGCCCAGTGCACAGATTCGTGGACTGGTAGGGTCCCATGGCCTGGCCTGTGGGGATGGGGCCAAAATCCGCAGTCCAACATCCCCAAGGGGTCCCGGATTGCGAGAGGGCGCAGGACAGGCCTAGTGACCCCACCAGTGCACAAATCCGTGCATCAGGCCTCTTGTTAATATATAAAATATACAAGGTAATCAAAAGAATCTTTAACCAAAAAATAAAGTTAATAAACAGGATAAGGATGTATACACAATTCTTGAAAAAATATATATTCATGACCAATAGGAATATTGAAAATGCTTTCATCAAGCACCACTCTCCAGCCTTCTCCAAGGGAGTTCGGACACCGAAAACCTCACTGCCTCAGACAAAAATCTGGGAAGAGGTAATCCCGCCACAAGGATTACTGGTCCCTTCTCCTTCTCTGACCCTTCATTGCCTCAGCCTGATGGCATTCCATGCGTGGCCTTCTGGGTAATGTAGTTTCTACGCTCATAGGCCAGTATCCTGTATTTCTCAGTTGACTCAAGAACTAGACTTAGGGGCAAATAGTCCAGGAACACGCCAAGTATAGTAAGGGTCCTGTAGCGTCTTCAGTGCAGGTGATGTCTGGGGCAACTTTGTTTCTCATCCAACCCAAAGATCCATGGTACAGACATACTTGAATGGGAAGGAGGACTTCAGTTCAGAACATGACCTGGGCTGCAGGAAAACATGGTTAGAGCCATTGTCTCATGTAGCCAGTAGGGACTTAGAGGGCAGAATCACATGGGCTGTTGGTCCTATCCATAAATATGTGGTGAGCACCTGTGCAATGAGAATCATGTAGAACTACAGCATCATTTCCCAATGTTAGGTCCCAGAATTCATGTCCAATTGTATCCACTCCTGCAGGGTGAATGTCACTGCCACATAGGAACATCACTTGAAGTTCAAACTGAGGCATGAAATTCATCACAGTGGATGTGATCACCGCAGGATACTCAAAATGTAGGGGAAGGTGCAGAGACCCAGCCCTAATTACCAAGGTCTCCTGAAGGTCAAACTCTGTGCGGAATCAAATGGCAGGCACACAAACAGCAGCTCACTCTGAAAGCAGGTTCCCCTGGAGGAACCACTGCAGCTAAGAAATGATGGCATTACCCTGAACACAGGGAGGCCAAGGGAATTGCTCTGAGATGTAAAGGGAATGGGAGGAAACAAATAACTGCAACCATGGAAACAGGAGCTACAGTTGAGCCACCCTGGTTCTCAGACTGTACCTGATCCAGTGAGGGCTGCACATCAGCGGTACAGATTGTGTCTGATGCTGGAGAAAATGATGGGTTAAAATCCAGCTCTTGAATCTGACACTTGGCTGTGCTGTAAACATGGGGAGCTGACTTCATTTCTCTGACACTGAACTTTTCAGCAATTTGATAGGAGTTTCCACTTACCCAGGTTGTTGTGAGAATTAAAAGAGAAAATGCTGAAAAATCTAACCCTGCAATCCTGGCAACAAGTACTCAGCTTGGTACTTTTATTGATCTTGGAAGGCCAAAGTAAGTGCCATCAATCATCTGCATGTGACATTCAGCCAACTCAGATTCACGGAGTTCTAGTGAGTCTGCTGGACATTCCCAGGTGGGCCCACCACAATGAGACCTGAGTGCCCACAGCACCTGCCTCCCTGCAGCAGAGTCAGTGGCTTCTTACAGGTCCCATTTCTTAGTAAAATGCACCCAAAGACAAATGTCCTTGTGAGCATCGGAGTGAGAAGTGCCTGGCCGGGGAAGGTCTCTGCTGAGAGATGCTGGAGATTGAAAGACAGAGAGAAAAAAATCAATGCTAACAGAGAATCATTGATCAGCTGCCTCCTGCATACCCCACACTGCGGTTCAAGACAGGGCTTAGGTATCCTCCTTGACTGTGAATGGAACCATGATGTCCTGGTTCATATGTTTAAAATAGAGGCCTGGTGCATGAAATTCATACACTCAGGGGGGATCCCTCAGTCAGTCCTGTGCCCTCCTGCAGTCCAGGAGCCTGTGGGAGATGTCCGACTGACAAAGGTAAATAACATTTATATCCATATAAAGAATTATACAGAAATGTTTGTATCACCTTTAATAGAAATAACCAAATATTTATTACAATGAACCTAATAGTGATATATTGAAAGATAAGAATATCTACCAGAGCCCTGGCCAATTTGGCTCTGGATGGAGCAAAGGCCTACAACCCAAAGGGTCCCAGGTTAAATTCCAGCTAAGGCACATACCTTGGTTGAAGACTCCTTCCCAGTTGGTGCCTTGGTAACCGCTGATGCAGGAGGTAACCAATCAATGTGTTTCCTTAATATCAATATCTGTCTTACCCTCTCTCTCTTACACTCTCCAAAAAAAAAAAAAAAAAAAAAAAAAAAAAAAAAAAAAAAAAAAAAAAAAAGATGAGTTACTAATGTATCTTTAATAAATGTCCAAGAATTTATGAAATATAAATTAAAGCGGAAAAATATTTAGAAAAAGCAAAGTTCTCTCTTAAAATGGAATGTAAAATCATGGTTATCAAAAAAGCCGTGAAGAACAAGGACAGATTAAATGAGGTCATGAAGCAACTTCACAGTCATAGATATGCTAAGTATTATGAGTATAATGATGGTTTCATTTTGTTGCACATGTCAAGATTTATGAAACACTACACTTAACACATGTAATTTACTCATTACAGCTGTTAAAAATAGTTCAAGACAAAAGAAATGAAAAAAAAAAAGATAAAAGAAATGTTACTTACTTTCGAACAACAGCTTTTTTAACTCTATATTCAATCCACATTCTCATGCGCTGTGGGTGAGTCTCATCTCAGAGACAGAAAATGTAACAAACAATGAAGAACTTTCACCCAAACCCACTGGAATGCTGACTGGGTCACAAAATCCATATCTCCGCCCTAAAGACACCCTTTGTTTTCTTCTTAGTTTTGCTGCCAGAGCACCAATGGCTCTAATGGGAACATCTGAGAAGATATATGAAGCCACAAAACTTCTTCATTATAATGAGTGACAATGACTGCTGCACAGAAGATAAACAAACCGAGATGTCCCTCAGGTCTGTGTACACATGACTCCTGTAGTCTTTTCCTCAAAAAAAATGTCTGGGTACAAGTTTAGATGAAGACCATTCCATCTAATGGGCTGCAGTCTGTTCCAACAGGAATTAGGTCAGTGTTTCTGCAGTGAAGGGGTCCCCTCACTGTGATGGTCCTCCAACCAGTACCTATCACCCATGGAATTGAAGGCATTAAAGCGCATGGCCCTCTGCAACACCTGGGGAAAAGAATCCCTTCAAATGTCTTACCATTCCTTGAAAACAGGAAAAAAATTAACGCTGCTCCCAGATATACTTCAGGTTGTCATAGCTACCCCCTCTTAGGAGTGATCTCTGTGTCTCAATGCATCCATTTTCACATGAGGATGAGAGAGTCCACAGTATTTCCTGGGAAAATATGGGCTGCAATGTAAATTTGGCAAAAACTGCTGAGCTAATTTCTACACCATAGTCATCCCCCAAGGGCAAAAATGTTTCAGAGCCCATATAAGTTTTTCACCGAATCATGCTTGGAGAGCCCAGATCTCCATATAAACTAACGAACACAGTAAATGGAACACCCAACATTAAAGAAGTCTTACGGAAAAGCCTTCATTATTTTGCAAGTAACAGCCGTGAGACTGGTAGTTCTTCCACCTGGCAAGACAGCTCTTTATGTTAAAAAGTCCAACATACATACATATGGTTCCAACATGCAAACAAGCAAACAGAACAGATAAAATAGTTGCGGGTAGGATACACAATGTATGTGATTCAATATATGAGATAAATTTCAGACTAATGAGACTTCACATATTTTCTTATACAACTGTTAAGTCCTAACTAAGAAACTACATTTTCAACACATCTGAGAAATTTTTCACATTCGGACTCTTTTCTGAAAAGCAAATTTACAAATTAGGCTGAGAGATATCGCACATTAATTACACTCATTACGACAATCTCCTGTGTGAACTCTCTGATGACAATGAAGGTGAGAGTTAGTTGTAAAAGACTGTCTGCATTCACTGCATTTATAAGCATTTTCTCCTGTATGAACTCTCTGATGACGGTGAAGGTTGGTGCTACTGGTATAAAATTTCCCACAGTCACTGGATTTATAAGGCTTTTGTCTGGTATGACTTCTCTGATGACGGGAATGGACATCGCTTTTCTCCAGTGTGAACTCTCTGATGATTTTGGAGAGCTCTGTTTTCACTGAAAGTTTTCCCACATTCACTACATTTATAAGGCTTTTCTCCTGTATGAACTCTCTGATGACGACAAAGTTTACTGTTACATGTAAAAGATTTCCCACAGTCACTGCATTTATAAGGCTTTTCTCCTCTATGAACACTCCGATGATTGTGGAGAGCTTTGTTTTCAGTAAAAGTTTTCCCACAGTCACTGAATTTATAAGGCTTCTGTCCTGCATGATTTCTCTCATGACGGCGATGGACAGAACTCCTGGTAAAAGATTTCCCACATTCACTGCATTTAAAAGGCTTTTCTCCAGTGTGAACTCTCTGATGATTTTGGAGAGCTTTGTTTTCACGGAAACTTTTCCCACATTCACTACATTTATAAGGCTTTTCTACTGTATGAACTCTCTGATGATGACAAAGATGACTGTTACTGGTAAAAGATTTCCCACATTCACTGCATTTATAAGGCTTTTCTCCAGTGTGAACTCTCTGATGACAACAAAGTTGACTGTTACTTGTAAAAGATTTCCCACATTCACTGCATTTATAAGGCCTTTCTCCTGTGTGAACTCTCTGATGAGTGTGAAGGTAAGACTTAGTGGTAAAAGATTTCCCACATTCATTGCATTTATAAGGCTTTTCTCCTGTGTGAACCCTCTGATGAATGTGAAGGTAAGACTTAGTGGTTAAAGATTTCCCACATTCACTGCATTTAAAAAGCTTTTCTCCAGTGTGAACTCTCTGATGAATTTGGAGAGTTCCGCTTTGGATGAAAGTCATCCCACATTCACTGCATTTATGAGGCTTTTCTCCTCTATGAATTCTCCGATGATGAGAAAGTGCACTTCTCCTGGTAAAAGATTTCCCACATTCACTGCAGTGAAAAGGCCTTTCTCCAGTGTGCACTCTTTGATGACAACAAAGTTTAATGAAAGAGTTGTAAGCTTTCCCACATTCACCACATATATAAGGCTTTTCTTCAGTGTGAATGCTCTGATGAGAAAGAAGGTTACCGATCTGGCTAAAAGATTTCCCACATTCATTGCATTTATATGGCTTTTCTCCTGTGTGAACCCTCTGATGACTGTGAAGGTGAGACAAAATGATAAAAGATTTCCCACATTCACTGCAGTGATGAGGCCTTCACTGCGCTCATAGGGCCTTTCTTCAGTGTGCAAAGCTTCATATTCACCTAGGCTGTTACTATTGCTAAAAGCTTTCCCATATTCACTGTACTCATAATGCCTTTCTTCAGTGTGCAAAGCTTCATATTCACCTAGGCTGTTACTATTGCTAAAAGCTTTCCCATATTCACTGCACTGATAAGGCCTTTCTCCAGTGTGACCTTGCTGTAGAAGATAAAAGCTAGAAAATTTGGTAAAATATTTCCCACAGTCAGAGCACACAAAACATCCACTTCCAACATTGACATCCTTTTCCTGAATAAACGTGTGGGTACAAGTAATGTCTTTCTTAGATTCTTTTCTGGCGTAATAATTTTTTGTCCTTTGAAATGTAATCCCACGTGTCGAAATAGCATTTGGATGGTCCCTGGTCTGAGTAGCCTTTAGGTGGAGCTGTCCTGATTCGGTAAGAACACCCTGCCCAACCTCCCCGCATGTGAACCAATTTTGGGACCCATTGAAATTGCAGCTGTTTGCAAGGGAGATCCTGTCCACACCTCTAATGAAAGTCTTCTCTCTCACATGCCATTGGTGAATATTTACACTGAAGTAAAACCATTTTGCACATGCCCCACACCTCAACATTATCTGTCCATGTTGTGTTCCCTGCAGCTCCGTCACGTGGAAAATGTTTCCCAAGACTAGTCCACAACTCTCACAGGGGTGGCTCTTCTGGGAAGACAAAGGTAACTGGGGATTCCTTGCCTGTGAAACTCTCACAAAAAAGTTCTGTTCAGTCACTGCCTCCTCATTCTCTGCTCCACAGCAGCAACCTGAACAAAAGGAAACACTGGTAAAGTACATGTTCACCCTATGAAATCAGAATATCTGCACCACAAATGTTTCTCTGTCATGACTAGGCCTGATTCCATAGAAAGATTTTAAGGACCAGTGAGGTACACTCTGAGGAAACTGTTGTTATGCATATCGTGGCCCCAAAACTCATTTATGATTAAAAGCAAACCAAGTGAGGGACAGAAGCACAGGAAGGGACACAAAGAAGAGAGGAAGGCTCTACTTATTTTTCCTGCAAAAATGGCTTCAATTAGAACCTTACATTTTGGCCATGTGAGTCTATGTAGAATCATTTAAGATGGCTCAAAGCCATAAAAATGTATTGTATTTGACCACATGATGTTCAACATCAATATAATAACATGTGTGCACTCCGAGGTACTGCAGGCATGGACCAATGCTAGAGGGCAGAAAAGAGAGACCTGTGAAAGAGGCACAGGTGCAAAGTCAAGAGAGGTGAAGGTTATCCATGGGCTGGAAATCCCAGTAGAAATGATCACTATGAAAACTGAGTGCTGATAGAAACAAGATGGCGGAATAGGTAAACACCAGAAATTGCTGCCACGCACAACCACTTCAAAAATACAACTAAATGACAAAACAGACATCATCCAGAACCACAGGAAGGTTGGGTGAGTGGAAATTCTACAACTAGAAGGAAAGAGAAAAGCATACTGAGACTCAGAGGAGGTGCGGAAGTAGAGTGCAGAGGTATGGAGGTGCACGCGGAAAAGGCTGGCAAATGAGCATGTGGCACACTTGGAAAGGGCTGGCAACTGAGGACGTGGCCGAAGTGGAAAGGGCTGGCAAATGAGGTCACAGTTGTCTTTTTCAATCGGGAGGGAGTCTCAAGCTCCCTACTGCTCTGAACTCCAACTCCGGGCGAGTCTCTGGGGACCCAGACTCATTCAGGGAGAAACTGGACTGTCTGGCATCGGTCAGATTTCGAGGGTGGCTTTCTCTCAGCGGTACTTGCAGAGATTACCGGGACACTGAGTCATGGGCCTCTTAGGGTAGGACTGAGGAGCAGCCATAGTTGTTTGCTCTGCCCCGTTGATCCCCTTATACCCCGCCCCACCCAACCTGGGCACAGAGGCTTTTGCATATCAAAGGCCTGGCCCTTTGCAATCTGAAAATTACCTAACAAACTGCAGCTGAGTCAGAGAAACCCAAAATTCCAAAAGAAGGCCCAAGGCCCCTCAGCACCTTGCATTGCTTCACAGCTGGGCCTCTTCTGGGCACGTCCAAACCCCAAACAAAGAAGAGGAATCTGCAGATCTCTCTATAGCTCCAGCTGAATAGCCTCAGGCAGAGGCTAAATTAGCACCTCCTTAGGGATCCAAGAGCCAGTGTACGCAGTGGTCAAAGTGGGACAATCCAGATTACAACCCATAAGATCCATAAGGGACACACTCAGGGGGCAGACTCAGTGAGCACCAAAGCCCCACTGAAGCAAGTCTTGCCCCAGAAGGGTGACTCCAGCACAGAAGTTCTCCCACTGCAGACACAGCTGATTCTCACAGCCAATTGGCCTGGAGGTCAATTCCTCCCAGTGATACCAACTACAACCAAGGCTGCTTAACTACAACAAGACTGTGCACAAAGCCCACAAAGGGGTGCACCAAGAGCAATTGGGGAGGCTGAGCCACTGGGCCCTATAGTACACCTAACACAGAAAGCCACTCTATCAACACAAGGAAGCATAAATAATGCGGAGCCAAGAAAAAGGTAACATATGAAAGAAATAGAGGAAAGCAAACTACTGGATATAGAGTTCAAAACCACACTTTTAAAGGTTTTTCAAGAATTTTCTAGAAACCGCCGATAAATTTAGTGAGACCCTCAAGAAATCTAGTGAGAGCGCTGATAGATTTAGTGAGACCCTCAAGAAATCTAGTGAGACCCTCGAGGTTATGAAAAAGGACGAACTAGAAATTAAGTGTACACTGACAAAAATAAAGGGTATTATGAAGACTTCCAACAGCAGACTAGAGGATCGCAAGAATAAAGTCAAAGATTTGAAATACAAAGAAGCAAAAAGGACCCAACCGGAAATACAAAAAGAAAAAAGAATGCAAAATATGAAGATAGTGTAAGAAGCCTCTGAGACAACTTCAAATGTACCAACATCTGAATTATGGGGGTGCCAGAAGAAGAGAGAGAGCAAGATATTGCAAACCTATTTGAAGAAATAATGACAGAAAATTTTCCCTATCTGGTGAAAGACATAGACTTACAAGTCCAGCAAGCGAAGAGAACCCCAAACAAAAGGTATTCAAAGAGGACCACAACAAGACACATCATCATTAAAATGCCAAGAGCAAAAGACAAAGAGAGAATCTTAAAAGCAGCAAGAGAAAAACAATCAGTTACCTACAAAGGAGTACCCATACGACTGACTGTCAGCTGATTCCTCAAAACAGAAACTATGCAGGCCAGAAGGGAGTGGCAAGAAATATTCAAAGTGATGAATACCAAGAACCTACAACCTAGATTACTTTACGCAGCAAAGCTATCATTAGGAATTGAAGGTCAGATAAAGAGCTTCACAGATAAGAAAAAGCTAAAGGAGTTCATCACCATCAAACCAGTATTATATGAAATGCTGAAAGGTATCCTTTAAGCAGAGGAAGAAGTAGAAGAAGGTAAAGATACAAATCATGAACAACAAATACACATCTATGAACAAGTGAATCTAAAAATGAAGAGAATAAATAATCTGATGAACAGAATAAACTGGTGAATATATTAGATTCAGGGCCATAGAAAGGGACTGGACTGACTATTCTTGGGGAGGAAAGGGGTGTGGGGGGTGTGGGAAGAGACTGGACAAAAACTGTACACCTATGGATGAAACCAGTGGGTGGCAGGGGTAAGGGCAGAGGGTGGGGTGTGAACAGGGTGGAGGGGAGTTATGGGGGGAAAAAAGAGGAACAAATTTAACAATCTGAACAATAAAGATTTAATTAAAAAATTAATAAAACTTGCGAAAAACTTAAAAAACATAAATATATAAATAAAATTCCCCTGTGCTGGACCTATTTAACCTTCCCTCTGTACTCCAAGCCTGTGGCAACTACTAAGCTTTTTACTCTCTGTATAGTTTTCCCTTTTCCACAATGTAATGTAG